AACAGATGAGCGCGAGATACGAGTGGCTGAAATTGTTTCCTCGGCGGGTCAAACGGGTGGCGGCGGACGGGCGGCAGCTGTGGATGCGGCTCCGCTGTCTGTTCCGTGGCCCGCCCAGTGCGAGGGCCAGGCGACATCTGGCGCCACCCGGCGACATAGCAGCACCGGTCAGGCTGCGCGGGGTCGACATGGTAGTCAAGGGTTCGGTCGGCCTGAAGCCGGTGGGTGCCTACAGGGAAGTCACGACGGAGGACCCCCAGCTCTCGTCTGCACAAGAGACCGTCACCGCAACAGCAAACAAATGTGTTGTGTCCTCCACCGATGGCGACCGCTATCGACAGTCGGCGCCCACGGCTTTCGTGGTGGTAGTCACGTCTGAGCCGCCGCCAAACTGGTTCCTCTCTTCTTCCAGTGCGAAAGTCCCCGTTAGCGAACGGTCTCTGCCACTGTCGCCGGTCGATTTGCATTGAAGCTGGTAAAACCAGCGCGTGACGGGGATCAGCTCAGCTCAGCTCAGCTCAGCTCAGCTGCGTGCCCCGTGTCGTCGTCTGCTTCGCGCTGGCTCTGGCTCTGGGCGACGCGATCAGATGCAAAGTCGCCCAGTGGTGGCGAGGCGCGCGCCAGAGGTCGTGGCCGACGGTCGAAGCCCTCGCTCACTGACCATTCCTCGATCTGCCTCCGAGCGAACAAGTCCCAAGTCCCGCCGTGACGACCATGCGCTTCATCTTTGCCGCTGCGCTCGCAGTAGCGTTCGCACTCGTTTCGACGCCATCGACTGCTGCGTCCGTTGCGGAGCCATCCGGAGCGTCGCAGATTGCCCCACTTGGTCCTGACCATCGCGAAGGCAAAGTCTCGGGGCTGGGCGAAGGCCGTCATCACGTGCGACCGGACCGGCCGCCCACTGCTGTCCTCAGTGCCCAGAACGAGGAAGCGAGATTCCTTCCGGAAGCGTTTGGAAGCCTGGGCGCTTTAGTAACCAGTGCTATAAGGAAGTTGCTTCGCCTTTTCAACAAGGGGGGCCCGAGACTGCGTAAGGAAACTGCCACCTTGAAAAACAAGGCGAAGTACAAGCAGGAGGTTGCGAGCATCAAGGGAGGGTCTTACAAAAAAAGATGGAAAATGGCAACTAGTCGGTGGAGACTGAATCGATGAGCCATTCGTGTCGTCGACGTTGCACACGATGTGCCGAGCACGTTCAGTAGCGCCGGCCATTCGTTGGTTGGCATCCCGTTCATCAATCGATCTTTTGCCTCTCGTTGTTTTGTTTTGTGCTCGTGGTTTACGTCGTCTTGTCAGTGACACAAAGGATGGCGTCTGTCCTGTCGTCTGCAGCGCTGGGCGAGAGCAGGTCCGACTCGTTGACGCTGAGCTTCGACGAAGCAGAACTACAGCCACGCAAAGGTATCGCCATACGTAGTAGCAGCAGCGTATCGTAAACCAAGCGACTGCTTGCTACGCAGCTGTATATCTCTCTCCCTAAACGAGAAGCTCATGGCGCCCACACGCTGTCAACGTGCCCCTCAAACTTGGCTGGCAGTGAGTGACCAGGAAGTCGAGATCGACGACTGCCGCAGCTCGTCGCAATTGACCGAGACGCTTGTCGCTGGGATCGCGTCATCTACTTCTGCAGAGGTTCAGACTGCACAGAGAGGTCCGTTTGGAGAAGCCATCACATCATGTGGCAGTCAAATCGAACAAACACGCGCACACTCCTTGACAAACGCCTGTCCTGTTGTCACGTGACAGTTAGTCCACGACGCAGTGTCCTTACTATCGCGTGACAATAGGACAGAGATTGTCAAGGAGCGTGAGCACCTTTGCAGCTATGACCGCCCTATGATGGCTACCGCTAGACAGCACGATGGGGCACTAGTTCGCGACAAGCGCAGCGTTTTAGCCTCGTCAATCACTGGGCCACACCCTCGCTGACCAAGTAGCCCCGCGGGACCGCATCCTGCAGTGCTACTTCTCTCGCACAAGGACGACCTGGCGGTAGCCGTTCTTTGGATGCGTGAATGGCTGTGCTGTTCGCGACGTGGGAGGCTCAACTGGTCTTTGCCACGGCTTCAAGCGCAGTCCATTGCCATGTGAGCAAAGCAATGGACTCGACTACTGGTCAGTGGAACTCGCAACGTCGACAGCGTCTCTTCTTGCGCAGAGTGGACGCCGTCGCGTGTCATTGCAGTGTCTCTTCAGTTCGGTCCCAGCACAAGTTGAGCATTCTCCACGGCAGCTGTCGATGCAACAACAACAACAACAACAACAACAACAACAACAACAACAACAACAACAACAACAATAACAACAACAACAACAACAACAACAACAACAACAACAACAACAACAATAACTACTACTACTACTACTACTACTACTCGACACCCTCATGACCACGAACGCTCGAAAGGGACAACGACCGCGTCTTGACTCCACTACCTCGTCACGTGTCCACAACCTGCAACGTCACCACGTTGACGACCGACGCAAAGCAACCGTTTGCAGCACGCTCCCAGCTGCAGCTCTTGGCGCGGACTGATTCGTGTTCCATCCACACAGGTCCAAACATGCTGCCAAGTGAACGAGCAGCCAAACATGTCAACGGAGTATATCGCATATTGAAACATCACCAACACGTACGTCCACCGAACTCGGCGTTGGAACTCGGTTCCGTTCCAACACGCAGAGTCTGCGTCGACCAACCAACCACCTTAGCCAGATAGCTAACTGTTGACGAGGTGGAACTGGGACGAACACTAGCGCTAACAACGACTTGACGATGAGAATGAATGGGTACGAGGTCGCACAAGCCTTCAGTACGTTCACACTTGAGAGCGTCGATCTGAATCCGATCAAAGATGTGGCACTCCGGTGTGACGGCAGTCGTCGATTCTGTCTGTTGCCGTGTACGTAGTGAACAGACGGTCTCGCGTACTGTCTCACGCCAGACAGACATGGACGACCCACAGTCGAAGTCGCAAGCGAATGAGTGCTTTGACGGCAAGGACAAGACAATGGGACGCAATGTCGCGTGCGTTCGAACAGAACGTGTCTGCAGATGGAACGACTGCGTGTCCCAATGTGACTTTGTACAAACGGCTGCGCCGGCCATCGACTGATGGAGTACATTCGTCGACACTTGATGTCACATCGCCCCTTGACGTCGCATGTACGTTTTGTTTGGTTCGGACGAGTCATACGCACAGCAGATGATGAGCGAGCAGTCGGTCACCGTTCGAGCCGCAAGACGTACGCTGACACCGTTGCAAGGGCACGAGGGGTCGACACTCCTCAGTAAAGAGCGTTGACACCAGATAGCATCAGCTCCAACATGTCGATTGGCAGTCAAGACGTGCAAACATGAGGCCATTCAGATCATGCGTATCAATAGCAAAGAAAGATCGTTGCAGCTTTTTCTCGCATCGCAACATGTGCCAACTCAAACGCGAGCGGCCCATCATCAGAGTCTGTCAAAAGAACGCCAGACTTCATGACTACTGTATGGTCGACCCGAACGCCATGACACGAGGCGCATCACACCTGCGTGGAGGCTGTATCGTCCAGCACCAACAGGTCACGAAGACGATGCTCCGTTTGTGGACGAACGACCGAGTGGTCAAACGTGTTATGTGTGATGAGCTGGAGTTTTTCAGTTGGCTCATGCTCCCGACGTGCTAAACAGAACACGATGCAGCATTACAATAGGCCACTCCATGTCTAAGAACCCTCAGTGGGACTGCTGTCGCCTACGTAGTCAATGCAACAGCTTTTCTCGTCCCCTCAGCAAGAAGATAGGGGTGATGCTGCTCTGCAAAACGAGTGTCGGCAATGTCGTTCGCAAACAGGAAAGCCCGATCACTAAGTGCACAGGTGGCCTTTGCCTGAGTGCCACTGCTTCGAGGGTGGCCACGGTCTAGTCAGTCAATGGTCGATGACCATGCGCAATTGCTCCGTGGACTGAAAACAAGTCACACACTTATCAGGTAGAACTGGCACTCAACGATCATCGATGCCACTCACAAAACCGTCACACTCCTCACAACCTGACTGTAAGCTTTCTGAATCGTTGACGAGTGATTACTTGTCCAAGCACATTCGACTGCATGATCTGAAGGGAATTTGAGTACTGTTTACAAAAGAATGTGAGCACTATCGACCCACGTGAGCGTTGAGGTCCGTGTGGATATTGCTCTGACAAAGTCAATTGGAGAGAGCCAACATTTCGCTTGACCCGGTGGTAAGTATTACTCGTATCGCACTAAGGTGCACACATGGCAGACGCAACGGTTTGGAGAAAGTAGCGCAGCGCAAATTTGCACTCAAAAGATCAGCGAAACCGATTCAGGTTGACTCGAGACCGTTGCTGTGGGCGACAGAACCCTATCGGACAGGACGATACAGACGTCAAGCAGCAGGCAAGGCACAGACGCTCTGGGTTCGATACGTGTACTGGATAGAAAGCATCACTTGAATCGGCTGAAGCCCAGCGCTGGACTGGTGACGATTGATTCAGACAGACAGAAGGGGCGAAGGAACGGACAGTCCTGGTCTGCATCCTATGCTTGCCAAGATCCGGTTGATGTAGCAAGACGATTCGACGATAGTGGAGGTCCGTGTTTCGTCCCCTGCTAGTGTAGTGGGAACGACCGCTGACCTGTGAGCTGTCAAGCATGGGATTGCGACCTTGTCCGTTGCATACCGAATGTACAGTGAGAGAGGAGGTGGTCGAGTCTTTCTTTCTCGTCGACACGACATGCTGAGCCAAGTGACGAACGAAGTACCGGCAAATATCTCCGCAAACAAAAGCGGGGCGAAGGAACGTGCATGTTGATTCCTGTTCGCTTAGCCGGAGTGTCAGCTCGTTCGTGCGTCTGTCCGCCTGAGTGTGTGGCAGCATGTTAGCCCGCGCGGTGTCCAAAATGTGTGACGTAGCCACCCCAGCCACCGTAGCTACCCCATGGACGTCCCCATCCCAAGCCTTTCCATCACTCCTTGGACTTCTTGCCTTCGGCGCCGAAGGTAAAAAGGCGGTGGACTCCTTCCCTGCAGCCGCAGTATCCTCAACAGGAGACGATTGTTTCTCGGTCTCTCGGTTGGGCCCGCGGTAAGCGTGTCAGCATTGGGTGCAGCTGGTTTCGACGCGTCAAATGCTCATAGTGCTGGCTGGTAGTCGGCGGCGAATGCGACGCTTGCTACAGCGACTAGCACACGGTGACGGCGAAAGTGCTGAACTTCATGATCGAGTCAGTTGGTCGGTTCTCCGGTCAGTTGGTCAGGTCGAGTACTTGCCCGTTACGTGGCAATGTGGTAGTGCTTGTTGGTTCGTGGGTGAGTGAGCAGGGTGGATGGTCGAGCTCCTGAGTGGGCTGGTGTGCGACGAGTGCCTCGCCACGTAGCGTCATCGTGACTGTTTCGGTCGATTTAGTAGACCCAGCGGATCGAGTGTATGGTTGAAACGTGCGCGTGTTTCGATCGTGATCCGATCGCGATATTATTCACCGTCTGCACGTGGACTTAGACGACGAATACTATCACACGACGTCAGCCTTTGGCAGGTATTGTGTATTCTACGGCCCTCAATCGGTTGCCGACCCTGCTAACGGACATCTTATCCTCCTAAAGACGCGAGTGGATACGAGGCCTTATTCTTGCTCACACACTAGGAGCCTCGAAAACGCTGGATGATACTGGAGATGGCCGGAGCGAGGCTTGACTTGCAAAGGTACTCCACCATACCGTCACTCGCATTGACTCGCGCGTCTTGAGCTCTCGGCAAATCAAGCGCTTCGAGTCTGAGAACATCTCCGCTGGTAGGTGCGAAAACTTCGCAAGTGTCAGTCGTCGCTGTTCAGTAAACGTCACTGTGTAATACCACTTCGCAGAACACGCCTGGAAACTTTTTCGCGTTTTAATTCTGTATCCGGTACGACAAAAGGAAGCAAAATGTGGCCGTGAGGAAACCGAATGTAAGGGCGGGTCAAAGGTGTGATTAACGAGGCGTAAGGGGTTCTCTACCAGGTCGTGTCGAGGAGGCCATAGTGGGATCAAGTCATTTGACTCGTATCCTGATTGCGCGCGTCGCAGTCTGTCTGCCAGATTTCCTGCCTGTCTGTCTGAACCAGTACGCGACGCGTGGCGTTCCTACCCTTTTTCTCCAAGGTCTGGACATAGAAAGACAAGCATGAGCTTAGCCAGACCAGTTTTGTGCCTCTAGCTCGGCCGGGATCAAGCGTGGAATCTCCTCCTTCGGCTTCCTCATCTCCAAAGCCTCTGTCACACATCTACAGTTGCTCGACCTGCATAAGTATCCACGAGCATGGAACGCCATGCGGAGGGCCTGCAACCGAAGGGACTGGCAAGTGGTATCAATTCAATCAGATACCACGAACGTAGCCATAGAGAGGAGCACCGCTAGGGGCGGTAGCGTTTTGCGCCACGCATCGGGCTGGTCGGCTGGTCTTCCGCCCCCTCACTGGGTGATACTGTCTCTTCTGGGCGTCTTTGTTCCCACTCCTGTATCAGGCAGCGTTGCACGAAGAGCGCTATAAAGATTCGGCCCTTAACGCTTCCAGAAGATACTCCTAGTTTCTCACATCGATGTGACGCGATTTGGCTCGCACATGCCTTACTACCTTTCCCGGTCACGGTGCAATAGCTTGGTGATGTCATCAGCTTGGGGCACCTGAAAGGGAAGACAGCGGCGCAACGGTGCAAATCAGTGTGCGGATCGGCTGTCCACGCATGCAATACATGCCCACTCTCGGGGAGGTTTCCCACGGCAGGTAACTCGTGAAGCGCTGCACAGTAATACGAATGTACTCTAGGCACGACTGAAACTTGTCCTAAATAGCTCAAGCGTTCTGCGCGCAAGCAAACTCACGCCTGCATCGTCATGAAGGTTCCTCGCATAGTTATTGACCCTGTAGCCCGGCACCGATTCGACAGATGCGCAATGGGTACTCACTTTCGTCAACGCACTGCATACCGATCGCCTGGCGAATGAGGCGTCCCGCACGCGAGGCTTCACATGCACAGGTCTACCTCCTCTGGCAGAAAGCACACAGTCACGTCTGCGGCAGCCACAGCAGCAAAGAACATCGTGGAACAATGCACTGTCTATTCTTGCGGTTAAAACCTTGCTCTTAACACTCTCGTGGTGAACTATTAGTCGCGTGTGGAGAAACCCCACGTCTTTGGCCTTCCGGCGCCTGGTATTACAAACGCGTGTACATGGTACTGCCAAATTATAGGGCAGAACAGCTGGGAAGCGGTGTCACACGCGAGAGAAACGCAACTTCGGCCAGCATGACGAGCTCACATGGAGGACGGGCAAGATAGTACGGGTCCTACCATCATGCGGCAATATTTGCGCGTCCAGCTACCTCCATGTCTTTTTGCAGGGTTCCCATGGCCCATGCATGACCCATCAGCTCACAACTCATTTTACTCACCAGCACCCAGAAGCACATTTATCATCCAGCCATGAAGATCTCCATTTCTACGGGCATCGTCGCTGGCGCGCTGCTAGCAGTCGCTGCTCTCCCCTCTGCGTTTGGAGAATCGGATACTGCGGCACTCGGCGCTCATCTCAATGAGTACGGAACTATCGTGCGATCGCTGAGAGGCAGCACACCCAATGAGGCGGACGACCCCGAGGAAGAAAGGAGCCCCATGAACTGGATGGGCGACTTGGTCTCCCTGCAAAAGGATAGTGCGCTCTTGACAGGGATCGCGCAATCTCTCCGTTCTCACGACAACGTCGAGGGTGTTTTCAAGATTGAGAGTTTGGCAGTCGCACCCATCAGCGCAGAGAATGTGTTTCAGGAGCACTTGGCGAAAGAGTTGTTGTCGAGTCGCGAGTTCCTGGAGTGGTATCAAAACGCGAAAGAGGTTGTGAGGAGCAGCGAGTTCGCGGCGTTCAACCACCTCGAGGCGGCCCTTGGCGCACATGATTTGGCAGTCATGATTGATCTCGTGCGATCGAAAAAGCTGAAAGTACCGAGGGATGCCAAAAAGGTGATTGAAGAGCTCGAGAAGAAACAGTTCGAAAAGTGGGTGCTATCGGGTTATTCGCAAGAAGTCGTTTCGGAAACGATCCTACGCCAGCCCGAGGGAACGATCCATCCGATCGCTGACAAGTACGAAGCGTACGTCACTAACAACCGACGCAAAAAGGGGTTCATATGGACCCCATAATCTTCGCAATACATTTTTCTTTGGGTTCACTCTACTTTGTAAGATCACACACCCGCGTCAGACATCTAACACTTGTCAGTGTCCAGCTCTACCTATTTGCTTCCTTTCCCCGCCCGAGTCCCTCGCGATTTGTAGCCGTTTTACGACCAAAACGTGCAACAGATTTAGGTGGGGTGTGGTGTGGGGGGGGGGGGTTTTTTTTTTGGGGGTTCTTCACTCCCCTCCCCCTCCTTTTTTTTTTTTTGGGAGAAATGACCGGGGGGAGAGAAGCGAAAAAATAGGGGGGGTTTCTTATTATAAGGGGTTTTAGAGGTCGCCCCCCAAAAAAAGGGGTGGGGGGGGGGGGGGGGGTTGATGGGGGAGGGAACCCCCAAATTTTATGAAAAGACCGGGAGTTTTTTGTTGGTGTCCCAAAGCAAAAACACCCGATAGGGGGGGGGCCCTCCAGCTTGAGTGGAGTGCGGTCACCAAAGTAACCGCAAGGCGTGGGGAACGCCAACCCGTCGTATTAGCCCCCCCCCAAGAGCTCATCCATCTGCGATGCGTGGTCCCCAAGTAGCCGTTTGCGCGGCCCCTAGGACTTGGACTGTGCGGCCGCCGCAGCGGCGACACGTAGGCGCGGGGTACGCCTCCATTCCGTAAACTACCCCTAATAGGCCGCTTGCGCGACCCGTCGGTCCACTACGTCCGCACCCAAGACGGCGAGCGCAGCTTGCTCGAGGCAGAACCCAGACCCCTTGGGCTCGCCTAGGGGGAGGATTCCCTCCGAAGCGGCCGCCCCCGAAGGGGGAGAAAAGATTGGCTTGAGCTGAACCGTGACCATTTGGAAATGTGCAACCGATATACGGCTACTCCCGTTCTCGCGCATCGGCTGTTCTAGCAGCAGTTCAGCACGAGGTACGAGGAACGCACTTTTTGCCGGCACCTCAACGCATGATCATTTGTGTTAGCTAAGCTTAAGATCACGAGACGGTATTGTTGTACAGCCACTTTCCTTTGTCAAGCAAATTCTTGTTGCGCGTCCTTTACAGAAGGGAGCAACGTTAGGGCATGGTTACCGATGGCTGCCATTACAGTAGAACCCTTGATAGCGAATACAATTGGGCGGATGAGGCCATGTTCAGTAAGAAAGGATATAGGTAGGAGAGCTGGGTAGTCACGTGATGTACCTCTTTTGCCCAACGATGGGCCTTTAACTTTTTAATACCTACAAGGGGTTACAGTAGAACCCCTCACGCTAATCCTCTATTAGCGAATGATCTTTTGTAGTTATTAAAAGGTTTCAGCCCGGCGTTTGGCAAAAGAGGTACATCACGTGACTACCTAACCCTTTCTATCTAATAGCCTCTGCTGCCTCATACTTTTTATCCGCCGATTCGTATTCGCCGAGAGGGATTCTACTGTATTAGCTACGATGGGATTAACTAAGAGAGGTTCTGCTGCTGTTTCAGGTAGCTAAGGTTTGATGCTGAAGCTCTGCCGGACCGAAAAACTGTACAAGGACAAAAGATAAGGCGCACCACCTGGCGCCGAAATTTTGTTTGTCGCCAGGGTCTCGACACGCGGATCGGGATAGTACAGGCCTTTCGAATAGGATAAGCAGTACAAAAGACGAAGTCTTTGGCAACATGCAAATAAAGTAAAGTCAGGCTTATCGAACGGGCGATCTCAGACTGTGTCGCAGCGATCAAAACACATTGCATTGCTGACAAGTGCGCACACTGCAGATGGGACCTACGATATTGGTCCGGCTAGAACCCGGTAGAGCGTAAGTTTGTGCAGATACTTGGGTCAATGATATTAGACAGACTAACTATCTTTATCAGCATGCGGTCAACAAAACGATGACAAATGGCACCGGCTAGCTACTGTCTTGTTGTGCGAGGAAAGTGTACTTCATGTGTTGTACGACTCGGTGTTTAACTGTGCTGGTAGCATACGTACCATTCCGAGCACGTTCTGAGCACACACACGTCCAGCGTAAAGCGATAGAGGGTTCACCTATACTCCGCCATCGCCTGCTCAATGTCTGAAAGCTTCACAACTTTGACTATGATAGCCAAACGACTGATTCCGAGCTTAGTGATCTGCAACAGTGGAGCTTCGAAGGATCGGTCGTTCCAATCAGCACCTTCACACGCTGTTGTGGCGCCATCGACATCCAGCCTACCTCATCATTGCCGATGATGTCAGACGGGGAGGATGCCTCGAAGTACTAGGATCGATGTGTGTTCCAACGTATTCACAGACACCATAGCAGAACAAGTATTCTAGAAAAGCCCATAGCAGCAATTAGTACGCATCACGAAGTAACCAGACTCGTTCATTTAGCTTCTCGCAGAATGTCAAAGTCTTTGGATCATCCACGGTGATAACAGTGGCCACATCGTTCATGACAGCGCCGATACAAAGTGTTTACCGGAGCTCTTCGTGTCACTCACGACACGAGTATGTTTTCTCCGAGCGTTTGCCACGACTTTTATGATGGCTCAAGTCTGTAGTGGCAAAGGAGGTTTTCTGTGAAGAGAGCTGAGGGATCTGCGTAAATATCAAACAGCACGTCAAAACAGCACGGCAGCGGAACGTGCGTCCGCAACGTGCCCGCTGTTTCCGATGGCTGCTATCTTCTGTGCAGTGGTTGGACGCGTGTCTTTCTACGATCCGCTGTCGTACGCTGCCGAAATCAGTAGGCGAGTCGCCTTCGCCAAGTTGGACAATCTACTGTATGATGTACCCGGGGACGCCGGACGACATGATGGTCAGTCACTACTTGCTATTGGAGAGCACAATGTCAGCGTTATGCTTCTTGATACATCCCAATCGGTCTCTTTTCCGATCCGTATGCGTAAACGTCGCGGTCCCATGATACTGGTAGACTGGTCGGATTTCATCCATGCGAGGCATCCACCCAAAAACGGGCATGGAACAAACTTTACATCACCAGCTTTTCTTTTGACTGTCAGTGTCTCAAGGACAGTGAAATGCGATGCGAGATGGAAACATGGCTCGCCTCGTCAAGGAAACGATTCAAAGGCCACCTTTTTGGCTGACGGTATCTTAGCTTGTCTAGTTGCACGTACAAAGTAAAGAGATGTATATTCAGACACAGCCGGAATGACGACAGTATATCCCGTTGTATCGTCTTGCTTTCCGTTGCGAGGCACAACCGAAAGACACGAGCGAGGTTGAGGTCGCTTTGTGTGTACGCCAGAACAATGCAAGATCAGGGAGAGCCTGATAGATCTACTTAAGTGACATCCGTTCCGCCTACCTGCGGTGACTGGGTATCAGGAGCGAGAAGAATGCAACTGCAGCGTCTATCCCCAGTGCAATTGTGCGCTATCACCATGACCTGTTGATCGCAGTATGTTGTTGCATGTATCGGTTATCAGCTTGCGGCAGAACACAAAACACACTGCCGAGTGATACGTGCGCACCAGGCCGCTCCCCCCCCCGACTTCCTCCTGTTACAGCTGTGTCGACAAGATGAGATGCCACGTGTAGGCTGACGATGGTGTATTGTTCGATCATACAGTTGCGCGATCAGACATGCGAAACCCGCATGCGAGGCACACATGAGTGCACAATGGAACGCCTTCGTAGGCGCGAGTTTAATGTATCACGCAAGACGCCATCCGTCGCTTACTGGAGGCCACCCATGTGCTTCCGTGTGAGTTCACCACGTCCAAGTGCAACGGAATGACGACGGCAAAGTGCGTCTTTGTATACAATCAAGACCCGACGAGCTATACATCGAACGGAAAGATTGGAGCGACCGTCCTCTAGGACGCACCAGCACATCGCCGGTCGGACGTGCGTGCCACGAAGCCCACAGCATAGCGCTCGTACATTCGTGTCGTTTCTAATTGTGCGTCATCAAAGGACATGCAACAAAGCTGTTCCACGCTTCCAGTTCGTGCGATACTTCCAACGTTACCACTTCCTCGTGCTTCCCGCCAGACCCATTGCAGGATATCAACAGTAATTGCAGTGACGGACGCGTTTTGCTTAGCGTCAAACTGATTTGAACGCTGAGGCGCAGAAACGACTCTGTGTTACGTGCACTCGGTCGTTCCAGCCACATTCGGACAGGTTATATAGATATATATATATATAGATATAACGTCGGGACACTAACGACTCGTGCGCTGTTGGAGCTGTTTGGTAGTGGCACGAAAACGCGATACGTTGAAGTTGGTTACAAACGTGTCCGGCCGGAGATTTGCCCGTCGCGCTCTGACTGTTGACTGGTCGTTGCAAGTAAACGGCCTGTAACGACTATCCCGTCGCCGTCAGCATAGCGGTAAGAAAGACGATCTTTTCTGCCAATCAGCGAGGAAACAAGCGACCTCGACGACGAGTTATAGCCAGTGACTGTGCAGACCGTAAATGCTCAGCGCGTGACGCGACCGCAAGACCTGATGAGGAATCGCGGGCCGAGAGTCGAGCAGGACGTGTGACCCACGTAAATACGGCGCGACGCTGTGTTTGTCCTATTCCATGCAAACGTCCATCCCTCGTATACAGGCCGAACGGTCGATCGAGCGTGACGCGCCCCTATTGGCCCTAACGGTCCCCTATCGTCCAGGACGCGTCCCCCTTGCCCCCCTATCGCGAATAAGTCGACCCGCGAAACCAAATCGACTCTCGGACTCGCTCGCTCTCTATCGCCCGTCGTACTACTGACTCGAAAAGAGGTACAGACAGTCAGTAGGCCACAACTGCATTCCCCTTCACACAAATGTGGCTACACGCCCTCTGCGCCACGGCCGCCTCTGTGCTCTCTCTCTGCGACGGCAGCCGCAGCTTCATCGACTTTCGATCAGTGAACGGGAAACTCGAGGCGAACAACCAGTCGTTCTACATCAAAGGCATCAACTGGTTTGGCGCGGGTACGTCCTCTCTCGGTCTCGCTCTAAAGCGGTCGTGTACCCACATAACGAACGAACGAACGAACGAACGAACGAGCGGAACGTGAGATGCTTTGACAACCTCTTGACGCATTGTATGCTTTTCCTCTCTCTCTCTCTCTCTCTCTCTCTCTTCGTGTGTGTGTGTGTTTGTTGTATGACGTGCAGAGACGATCGAGCGCGTGGTCCAAGGGTTGTGGCCCTCTGCCACGTCGATTGGGGATGCCATGGACCTGTTGGCCAGCGCGGACATGAACGCGCTGCGTCTGCCCTTGGCCATGGACTCTGTGATGAAGGACCCGGTGGTCGCCTCCTCGCAGACCGATGGCACGCCGTCGCTGGCTGGCAAAACGTACTTGGAGGTGCTCGATAGTATCGTTCGAGCAGCTCGTGACCGCAATATCCTCATTTTGCTTGACAGTCATCGGGTCGAAGCAGCTGAAGCAGATTTCCCTGATGTTGCCGTGCCGACCGATATTGTACCAGCTCTGGAGAAGTTGGCGATGAGATATTGTGACGACCCAGGGGCTTGGAACGTCTTTGGTATTGACATTAAGAACGAACCCAAGGGCAAAGCGTCGTGGGGAAAAGGCGATCAAGACACGGACTGGAACGTGCACGCTGGTAAGATTGGCAACGCAGTGCTGAAAGCATGTCCCCGGCTTCTGATATTTGTGCAAGGGGTGCAGACGAATGTGAAGGGCGTGAGTTTAGAGTGGGGACAAGCGGGAGGGTCGTTGCAAGGAGCAAAGGACTACCCCGTCAAGCTGAGTAACATGGAGAGATTAGTGTACAGTCCGCATCTGATTTCACCGGCGATTGACTTCAAGGCGCCGTGGTGGAGCGACTCGAGCTTTCCCGACAACATGCCGGACCTGTGGGATGCGTATTTTGGCTTTGTTCCCAAGGAAACTGGCCAGGCGGTTGTAGTTGGGTCCTGGGGAGCTCAACTGAAGGGCAAGGACAAGAAGTGGGCAAACGCCGTGTCGACTTACTTGGAGAAGAAGGCGATTGGATCCTTTTACTGGGCGTTCAATCCCCAGTCGGCTGACATAGGTGGGTTTGTGAAGGACGATTGGGTCACGCCAATCGATGAACGCGTGGCTTTGCTCAAGCAGCTGCCGACGACGAGTCTCGACAAAATGGTTGCTGCTTATGCAAAATGTAGCGGCACTTGCTCAGGCAATGGCGACTGCGAAGGTGGAAAATGCGTCTGTTTCGCCGGTTGGGGTGGCCCTCAGTGTGAGCTTTGCTCTGAGGGTGACACGATCGCATGCAACGACATGGGAACGTGTCTGAGAAACAGTACGTGCGCATGCAATGACGATGCAGACGGAAAGTACTGTGCTGGCGCCGAGTGCGATGAGATCGACTGTGGCAGCGGACCGAATGCTGGCTGCTTTAATGGCGTGTGCACTTGCATCCACAACTGCGCCGGAACCAGCTGCGCCATCTGTGCTGCAAACGAATCTGCGCTGGCTACCGTTGCCAATGGCGCGACGCTTCTTTGTGACGCGTGCGATGCAGACGACAGTTCTGCTGCTGTGGCGATCTCTGTCTCTACGCTTGGGGTAGCCATGATCTCGCTCTGCTTGGTTTTACTGTATTGATGATAAGCATCGTACAGATGTTGCAGAGTTGGTCTACTGCAGCACAATGTCCGAATGAAATGGTCGGAGAGGTTTTGGAAGCTGTGTGTGGCCGAAACCTGATTGGGGCTGCCGACGGTGAATGGTTCGCCTGATTGCAAGCGTTTCCACGTGTGATTTCTGCCCCCGGTATGACAAAGCGTGACACTTCATACCATTCGTTGCACTGGTAAAATGATTATCGTCGGGCCATCGAGACCGAAACAGCAGCACTTACTTGCCTGGGATAGACGTCGCTGTAAATAAAGCATTACGGAAGGTGTACGGACGTCGCATCTTGGTCGTTGCCTCATAAAAAAGAGCATATCTGATGTTGCCATCGAACGGAGAATGAGCGCGTAAAACACCCGTCTTCTTACCGGAAAATAGCACAGACACATCAATGGATTCGCTATTGCCATCGTTGGCGCACAACCCCTCTGTCCTGCAGCAGTGCACCATTCAGTGTAAGTCGCGACAACAAACTGCACTTGATCGCGAATCTTGACACTGTACATTCGGTATGCAACGGACAAGGTCGCAATCCCATGCTTGACAGCTCACAGGTCAGCGGTCGTTCCCACTAAACTAGCAGGGGACGAAACACGGACCTCCACTATCGTCGAATCGTCTTGCTACATCAACCGGATCTTGGCAAGCATAGGATGCAGACCAGGACTGTCCGTTCCTTCGCCCCTTCTGTCTGTCTGAATCAATCGTCACCAGTCCAGCGCTGTGCTTCAGCCGATTCGAGTGATGCTTTCTATCCAGTACGCGTATCGAATCCAGAGTGCCTGTGCCTTGCCTGCTGCTTGACGTCTGTATCGTCATGTCCGATAGGGTTCTGTCGCCCACAGCAACGGTCTCGAGTCAACATGAATCGGTTTCGCTGATCTTTTGAGTGCAAATTTGCGCTGCGCTACTTCCTCCAAACCGTTGCGTCTGCCATGTGTGCACCTTAGTGCGATACGAGTAATACTTACCACCGGGTCAAGCGAAATGTTGGCTCTCTCCAATTGACTTTGTCAGAGTAATATCCACACGGACCTCAACGCTCACGTGGGTCGATAGTGCTCACATTCTTTGGTAAACAGTACTCAAATTCCCTTCAGATCATGCAGTCGAATGTGCTTGGACAAGTAATCACTCGTCAACGATTCAGAAAGCTTACAGTCAGGTTGTGAGGAGTGTGACGGTTTTGTGAGTGGCATCGATGATCGGTGAGTGCCAGTTCTACCTGACAAGTGTGTGACTTGTTTTCAGTCCACGGAGCAATTGCGCATGGTCATCGACCATTGACTGACTAGACCGTGGCCACCCTCGAAGCAGTGGCACTCAGGCAAAGGCCACCTGTGCACTTAGTGATCGGGCTTTCCTGTTTGCGAACGACATTGCCGACACTCGTTTTGCAGAGCAGCATCACCCCTATCTTCTTGCTGAGGGGACGAGAAAAGCTGTTGCATTGACTACGTAGGCGACAGCAGTCCCACTGAGGGTTCTTAGACATGGAGTGGCCTATTGTAATGCTGCATCGTGTTCTGTTTAGCATGTCGGGAGCATGAGCCAACTGAAGAACTCCAGCTCATCACACATAACACGTTTGACCACTCGGTCGTTCGTCCACAAACGGAGCATCGTCTTCGTGACCTGTTGGTGCTGGACGATACAGCCTCCACGCAGGTGTGATGCGTCTCGTGTCATGGCGTTCGGGTCGACCATACAGTAGTCATGAAGTCTGGCGTTCTTTTGACAGACTCTGATGATGGGCCGCTCGCGTTTGAGTTGGCACGTGTTGCGATGCGAGAAAAAGCTGCAACGATCTTTCTTTGCCATTGATACGCATGATCTGAACGGCCTCATGTTTGCACCTCTTGACTGCCAATCGACACGTTGGAGCTGAAGCTATCTGGCGTCAACGCTCTTTACTGAGGAGTTTCGACCCCCCGTGCCCTTGCAACGGTGTCAGCGTACGTCTTGCGGTTCGAACGGTGACCGACTGCTCGCTCATCATCTGCTGTGCGTATGACTCGTCCGAACCAAACAAAACGTACATGCGACGTCAAGAGGCGATGTGACATCAAGTGTCGACGAATGTACTCCATCAGTCGATGGCCGGCGCAGCCGTTTGTACAAAGTCACATTGGGACACGCAGTCGTTCCATCTGCAGACACGTTCTGTTCGAACGCACACGACATTGCGTCCCATTGTCTTGTCCTTGCCGTCAAAGCACTCATTCGCTTGCGACTTCGACTGTGGGTCGTCCATGTCTGTCTGGCGTGAGACAGTACGCGAGACCGTCTGTTCACTACGTACACGGCAACAGAATCGACGACTGCCGTCACACCGGAGTGCCACATCTTCGATCGGATTTAGATCAACGCTCTCAAGTGTGAACGTACTGCAAGGCTTGTGCGACCTCGTACCCATTCGTTCTCATCGTCAAGTCGTTGTTAGCGCTAGTGTTCGTCCCAGTTCCACCTCGTCAACAGTTAGCTATCTGGCTAAGGTGGGTGGTTGGTCGACGCAGACTCGGCGTGTTGAAACGGCACCGAGTTCCAACGCCGAGTTCGGTGGACGTACGTGTTGATGATGCTTCAATATGCAATATACTCCGTTGACACGTTTGGCTGCTCGTTCACTTGGCAGCATGTTTGGACCTGTGCGGATGGAACACGAATCAGTCCGCGCCAAAGAGCTGCAGCTGGGAGCGCGCTGGAAAAAGTTACTTTGCGTCGGTCGTCAACGTGGTGACGTTGCAGGATGTGGACACGTGACGAGGTAGTGGAGTCAAAACGCGGTCGTTGTCCCTTTCGAGCGTTCGTGGTCATGAGGGTGTCGAGTAGTAGTAGTAGTAGTAGTAGTAGTTGTTGTTGTTGTTGCATTGACAGCTGCCGTGGAGAACGCTCAACTTGTGCTGGGACCGAACTGAAGAGACACTGCAATGACACGCGACGTTGTCCACTCTACGCAAGAAGAGACGCTGTCGACGTTGAGAGTTCCACGGACCAGTAGTCGAGTCCATTGCTTTGCTCACATGGCAATGGACTGCGCTTGAAGCCGTGGCAAAGACCAGTTGAGCCTCGCACGTCGCGAACAGCACAGCCATTCACGCATCCAAGAACGGCTACCGCCAGGTCGTCCTTGTGCGAGAGAAGTAGCACTGCAGGATGCGGTCCCGCGGGACTACTTGGTCAGTGAGGGTGTGGCCCAGTGATTGACGAGGCTAAAACGCTGCGCTTGTCGCGAACTAGTGCCCCATCGTGCTGTCTAGCGGTAGCCATCATAGGGCGGTCATAGCTGCAAAGATGCTCACGCTCCTTGACAATCTCTGTCCTATTGTCACGTGATAGTAAGGACACTGCGTCGTGAACGAACTGTCACGTGACAACAGGACAGGCGTTTGTCAAAGAGTGTGCGCGTGTTTGTTCGATTTGACTGCCACATGATGTGATGGCTTCTCCAAACGGACCTCTCTGTGCAGACTGAATCTCTGCAGAAGTAGATGACGCGAACCCAGCGACAAGCGTCTCGGTCAGAGGTCAGGACACGCAGATAGTGCTCGCTCCGGGCAACGTACCGGAACCCGATACACCGACTACGACTGCTGAGCACCTAATCAAGCGCTGCCCGGTGCAAGTTGACGAGCTCACAACGTTTGCAGTTCAGTGCCGAGAAGGCTCTATCACAGCCTTATGGCGACTGGGCCGACGTTGCTCGATGTACGACGAACTTCGTCCGCGTGAGTGTACGCGCGACCAACGTGACGCTTTCACTCGTCGAGCCGCATGCAGTTGCGTGGACTGCATGGCACGAAAGAATGAGTGACAAGACGAGCTCGAAGGAAGTCCGTTCGAGGCCACGTGGCTGTGGTGTTGTAAATAGTGTGGCAACGTCTGTGGCGAGGCACTCACGTGATCACGCCACGAGTGAGACTCACGACGTCGCTCGACTCATGTTGAGACCGGTCGGACGAGTAGTCCACTGCACCGTATCGGCTCGAAATTGAGCGTGGAGGACTACGAGCGCCAGACGCTTTTTGTGGCGCAGAGCGTGTGCCTCTCCACCTGACCGTTGCGATCGAGTGGACACACTTCCGTCTGTCGTGCTATCAATTGCGACGAGCTGCGGTAGTCGTCGATCTCGACTTCCTGGTCACTCACTGCCAGCCAAGTTTGGGGGGCACGTTGACAGCGTGTGGGCGCCATGAGCTTCTCGTTTAGGGAGAGATATATATACAGCTGCGTAGCAAGCAGTCGCTTGGTTTACGATACGCTGCTGCGACTAGTAGGGCGATACCTTTGCGTGGCTGTAGTTCTGCTTCGTCGAAGCTCAGCGTCACCGAGTCGGACCTGCTCTCGCCCAGCGCTGCAGACGACAGGACAGACCCCATCCTTTGTGTCACTCACAAGACGACGTAAACCACGAGCACAAAACAAAACAACGAGAGGCAAAAGATCGATTGATTAACGGGATGCCAACCAACGAATGGTCGGCACTACTGAACGTGCTCGGCACATCATGTGCAACGTCGACGACACGAATGGCTCACTTCTTTTCGGAGCGTCCGAGGCGTATCAGTCTTGCTGCACTGTCCTTGGCGACATCTGCTTTCAGTTTAGCCTTATCTATGACGTATCTCGTGTTGATGAATACTTGCCTGAAGGCTGCCTTGATGGCAGCCCACCAGAGCTGAAACCGTTTGCTCACAGCGATCCTCGAGCGTCTGTAGCTTAGCGGAATGAACTCGAACGCCCTGGTCCCTCTCTCCTCGTTCTGGGCACTGAGGACAGCAGTGGGCAGCCGGTCCGGTCGCACGTGATGACGGCCTTCGCCCAGTCCCGAGACTTTGCCTTCGCGATGATCAGGACCAAGTGGGGCAATCTGCGACGCTCCGGATGGCTCCGCGACGGACGCAGCAGTCGCTGGCGTCGAAACGAGTGCGAACGCTACTGCGAGCGCAGCGGCAAAGATGAAGCGCATGGTCGTCACGGCGGGACTTGGGACTTGTTCGCTCGGAGGCAGATTGAGGAATGGTCAGTGAGCGAGGGCTTCGACCGTCGGCCACGACCTCTGGCGCGCGCCTCGCCACCACTGGGCGACTTTGCATCTGATCGCGTCGCCCAGAGCCAGAGCCAGCGCGAAGCAGACGACGGCACGGGACACGCAGCTGAGCTGAGCTGAGCTGAGCTGAGCTGAGCTGATCCCCGTCACGCGCTGGTTTTACCAGCTTCAATGCAAATCGACCGGCGCCAGTGGCAGAGACCGTTCGCTAACGGGGACTTTCGTACTGGAAGAAGAGAGCGCCCAGTTTGATGGCAGCTCAGACGTGACTACCACCACGAAAGCCGTGGGCGCCGACTGTCGATAGCGGTCGCCATCGGTGGAGGACACAACACATTTGTTTGCTGTTGCGGTGACGGTCTCTTGTGCAGACGAGGGCAGGGGGTTCCTCAGTCGTGACTTCCCTGTAGGCACCCACCGGCTTCAGGCCGACCGAACCCTTGACTACCATGTCGACCCCGCGCAGCCTGACCGGTGCTTCTATGTCGCCGGGTGGCGCCAGATGTCGCCTGGCCCTCGCACTGGGCGGGCCACGGAACAGACAGCGGAGCCGCATCCACAGCTGCCGCCCGTCCGCCGCCACCCGTTTGACCCGCCGAGGAAACAATTTCAGCCACTCGTATCTCGCGCTCATCTGTTCCTACTGCACCTACTCAGGTACTGCACGTTCTGTGTTTAGATAAATCAGAGTCCGCAACTATCCCGTCTTCCGCGAACGCTCCAATTGGTTCTCAAGTGTACCCACTTTGCTTCCCGACATATGCTTCAACCACACGGCCACTACCTCTGCTCTGTCCGAGTCGCCGGCGCACCTATGGGAGCATCGCTACACTCTCACAAAGTATCAAATTTGGGCATGCCACAAAGTCACCAATTAATTTTGTATCACTCGGCGCGGGGTCAGGACTTGTACGCGCGCGCACCAACACGAAAGTATGGCCCGTGAGCATACGGACGCAGAAGTTGCACGCATTCTTTCTCGCCAACTGCGAGCAGTCGCGATCAACGAAAACGTCGTGGCAGGGATAGAGCCGATAGTGTCTTGTCACGCTTCGCAACTGAAGTGATACGAGCGTCCACGAGCAGACGGAAAATGAGAGCATCTGTAGGCGATAGAGATGGGATCACCTCCCGGGGTCCTCAAGAGGCTGCGGGTGTTCAGAAATACAGTGAGCCGTCACGGTAAATGGACAGTCTGATTCTCATCGCCAATGCCTCAACAGTCACTAGAACAGAGGAGTCACGACCGTCTCTTTGCGTGTGCCCTATGTGTGGACGATGTCTGAAAGGAGCCAAGACGGGTTTTAGCGCTGGTAAACCCAGAGGGCTTTCTGTGCCGGAAGTAGGAGTCCCACTACGTAATCCCTCGCGGTCGCACTTGAGCAAACCGGATGCATGCGTCCAGCGTGGCACCAGACGTTGTCGCGCTTGTATCGATGCTCCCTCGTCACAATTGCGCGAAGTTAGTTTACCGACTTGATGCGTAGAACCCAAAGCCAGTGCAGCAAGCGACGGTGTCGCACGACCCAGAAATGAGTGCACGCGACTCCGATGATCTGCTCGAAAGACTCTGCTCGAGCCGTGACCAACTGAACCAGACGAGACCTCAATGTCCGGTGAAGCTGCTCGTGAAGCTGCAGTAGAGCAGGTCGTCCTTCCTTCCATCCCCACCCCACGCGCCCGACGCACCAATTGGTTCTCTTGCGACCACCGACAGTGCAAAATCATCCCAACGACGTGACTTCCAGTGCGACGCACACTCGTGTGAGCCACTGATCAAAGCAGTCGACGGCGTGGACCTTCTTGAGCAGGCGGGACGACACCGCACACGACAGGCGCACCCACTGCACCACTCTGTCCGTCCTCTGCCACTCGCGCAGTGTCGTTGTGCCGCTCGCCACCGGCGCTGGCCATTGGGCTGCGACCGAGTGCCTCCGTCCAGAGGGCTCTGTCCATGACGTGCCGTCAGCAGTGGCCCACGTCCGACGGGACGACAGGAACGAGAAAGAACGAACGACCTTGAGCTCCACTGGACGACCTCAGCGATCCCGTGACGCGCTTCTTCGACCTGTGCCACCCGATGAGACGGCAAAAGGGACCGGCGCTCGAGTGCGGTCGTGGGCGCGCAGAGCCCATCGGTTCGGCATTGCAGTGCAACTTCAGTGGCTTTAGATGGACCGACGTGAGGCCGAAAGGCAGCGACCGCTGAGGACGTTGCAGCGGATGACTGTGTCACGGCTTTGGTGAAGTCGGTGTGGCCAAAGGTAACACTTGCACGAGCTCGACGTCCGACGAAAGGGAGGAACACATGTATTCATCTTGTTGAGCACTAAGGCCAAAACATGGAGCACACGACGAGAGTGCGCCTGTTATTCAGGCAAATACCGGCCTTCCTTACTCCGATGGTCGCGAACGTACTGAGCGTACCGTTTTGCAATCGCAGCGACCGTTTTCTCGGGCTGCTCCACGGCGTTATGGGACACGTGTTCCTTTGTGAACCAGTTATCAAACTGCGTTTTTTCCAAATCGCGGGCCAAACGAAGGGAAGCGCTCCACCAGTCGAATCGTTCCTTCGACTTGAGCTGGATCATCCTGGCAAACGCTTCGCCACCAAGCGCTTCCCGCAGGAAATTGAACGCCGCAAACCTCTTGTTCTTCTCTTCGATTTCTGTCACGTGCTGATACCACACCTGCAACTCAGGACTCGACATGAACTTAGCCGCTAATTCCTCGTGGAGAACGCCACTTTCAGTGACTGGCAGCATTTGGTCTAGTTTCAAGACGTGGAAAGCAGTTGCAGCGTCATCACGAGACCCGAGCAGGTTCGCGAGCTTCGTTGTCTTGCTTGTAAACAACCCCCTTTGTTCATCGGAGTGACTCGCAGTGGGCGTGCTACTACTTGACAGTCGCCTGGTGGCGTGGCCCTGGTCCTCGAGGACGCCACGCGTGTCAGGATCGAGTGACCCGAAAACTAGGGTGAAAGCAGCGCATACAAGCAGTGCACTACTGACGAAGCCTGTGGAGAGAGATACTTTCATGACTGGATGGTGGAGGTGCTTTGATGGGCTCAGGCGCAAAGCGAGAAGTGAAGTAAGTCGATGGGTTTAAATGCGCAGTCTGTCAGTGTACGCTGTCGGGACGAGAGCTTCGTTTCAATGATACGAATGGTGCGAGACAGTGACACGGATCCCATGTTTCCTGCTGTTTCATTGGTACAAACGAACGCGTTTCACTGGATTTTGTAGGGAGGGACCAGTGTATCCATCGGATAGCAGCGGATAGCATGCAAGCCCCTTTTGCAGCACTGTGCAGTAGCCACATGATACCAGTCCGGCGCGAATATTATCTACCGAACACCGCTCGAAGCTGCAGTCGTGTCCTTTGCAAGATTCTTTGTCTGATGAGAGCAAAGACTAGCTGCGAATGTCGGTCGATTCATCTGTCCCTAAGAAAAACGTTTTCTTGTTTCCCAAAGTATACCGCAGCTGCTATCGTACCTGCGAATGGTTTTTTCGTTGCCCATGTGTTACGCGCTTGTACTGGAATAGTTCGGACCCTCGATGCCCACGATCGGCACTCCTTCAACTGCCTTCCATGGAAGTGAAGGGTTGACAGGTGTTGTCGATCTCGATAAGAAAGATGTCCTGCAAGCGATTGGTTTGCCAGTTCCGGTACAGAGGAATGGTCCTTGCCACGAGAGACTTTGTTCCTGAAGAGAGAGCCGGTCGGACCAAAAAGTCAGTACAATTGCAAGGCTCAGGTTTCCGGCATTTCCATCATAATGACTCAACAAGCACTTCAACACTTCTCGATGGTCTGTATGCGGTAATCATGTACCTACTATTGCTGGACAAGGACATTTGACGTCCCTCAGCATGGAGCTTACAGTGAGGACCATTGGGACAGTGAAAGACTTCCCTCAATTCCAGATGCTGAGGCGCAGTGGATCGTCGTTTCGGCGCTTGAAATGCAGTTGAGACGTCGCAGACCCACAAAGACGACCTCATGAACGTGCGGCAAGTGGGAAAAGCGCAGGGCCAGCCGAGCTCGCTTGCTCAAAGGAGCAGAAAGGAGCTCAACACTCTTTCGTTCGCTTTATATCGGTCAAAGATAGCAGCAGCATGCGTCCGAACTCAGGAGGTTACCAAACGTCTATCCTGCGTCGATGTAATCAACAGATCCGGACGCATAGTTTCCATAGCGCGTGCGACAACAGCAACTCGCCTGATCCCTGCATAGCATCCACGATACAGGCTTTGCCCTTCGAACCCGCCGGGTGCATGCAGGCCTGAAAGTGTGCGGTTCGTTCCGACCACCGCCTTCTGGCTCCGCGCGCGACGGTGGAACTACTTCACGTTCGTGTGGCCCACTCCAATCGCACCGTTCTTTTCTCCCAATCAAACCACTGCGTCCCGCGGCGCCAATATGGTCATCAAAGTCGGCGACCTCGTGCTGGCGTACCACGGCGTGCTGATCTACGACGCAAAGGTCCTCAAGGTCGACAGCGGCCACGGCGTGCAAGAGGCTTCGGGCGTCGGCGTCTCCACCAGCGCCAGCACGCAGCTCTACGTGCACTACCAGGGATGGGCCAAGAAGTGGGACGAGTGGGTCCGCCACGACCGCGTGCTCGAGGCCACGCCGGCCAACCGTTTGCTGCAGCAACGGGCCAAAGCCGAACTCGCGCAGAAAAAGCAGCAGCAGAAGCGCGTGGACCGCAAGCGCACAGCGTCGAGTCGGTCGCGAGCCGACGCCGCATTGGATCGCCAGTCGCCGTTCAAGCGGCTGCGGCGCAACGTCGAGAAGGAGTTTGAAGAGCTGCCGCGGCCAGACGAGGCGGGCGGCGCGCAGGGGGGCAGCAAACACGTGAACATTCAGATGCCCTTTTCGCTCAAGAAACAGCTCGTTGAGGACTGGAAGCGCGTGACGCAGGCGCCTCATCAACTCGTGCCGCTGCCGAGGAAACCCAATGTCCGGCAGGTGAGAAGACACCGACATGGGGATTAAGGGGGAGGGGCAGTCTCTATGTGTGTGGGTATGTGTGTAGCCTTCGTGGATGAAGGACTGAGGACGGTGTGTCGTGTTCGTTGGTGGATGTGGGGGTCAGATTATCAAGACGTACTTGGACGTGAAACAGAGCAAAGTGCGTGCGGGGGAGGCGAGCGAAGAGAAGGAGTTGAAGAACGTGATGGGCATCATGGAAGGCGTGCAGTCGTACTTTGACCGCGCCGTGAGCTCGCTGCTACTGTACCGCATTGAGCGTCGACAGTATCAGGAGCTGCGCCAGAAACAGCCGGACGATGTGCCGCTTTCGCAGATTTACGGTGCTGAGCACCTCATCCGTCTCTTTGGTGCGTGTCGAGCGACGAGGCAGCAGCAGAGAGACGAACAAACGCGACGCTAACGCTTGTGCTATTGTTGCTGCTGGCTTGGATGTTGTGTGTGTGTGTGTGTGTGTGTGCTTGTGCTTGTGCTTGTTTTTTCTCCATGCAGTACGTCTGCCCATTCTCCTCGCAAACTCTAGCGCTTCTCCGCGCGAGTTGGTGCAGATCCAGGCGCGACTCAACGACTTTCTCAAGTTTATCCAAAAGAACTCGGCCGCGTGGTTCGTCATGGAATACGAAGCCGTGTCGGACAAGTACGTCGAGCTCGCGTTAGCCGCGCAGTAGTGACGGTCTCCACGCTTGAATATCAATTGCTTGCGCGACTCGAGCGCTGTTGTAGCCATGTCGTGGTTCCCTCACGCCGCACTTAGTCGCGACCGCACTTACGACACGCGATCCACTCGTCGTCGGGATGTACCCCTCTCGCGCAGGTCCGTCTGTAGCCATGTCGGAATGTACCCCTCTCGCGCAGGTCCGTCTGTAGCCATGTCGGAATGTACCCCTCTCGCGCAGGTCCGTCTGTAGCCATGTCGGAATGTACCCATCTCGCGCAGGTCCGTCTGTAGCCATCCGCATGTGACCCACTGCCATGCTCTGGATGACCATCACGAGCTGGCAGATCTGGGCCTTCGTCGCGCTCGCGCTCTACGCTGCGTTTCAGCTGCACGTGCTGCCCCGACCGCTGGCCAAAGTCGCGGCCCGCGTGTTCTTTTACCCCACGTGGCCACTCACGTACTTGTCGCGGCGTCGGAACTACTGGACGCTCGTGGACGCGCATGTCCTGCTGGGGGCTGCACCAATGGCGTTCCTGCCGCACGTCGACGCCCTCGTCGCCCGGGGGGTGCGCGCCGTTGTCAATCTCTGCGACGAGTACAGTGGCCCCGTGCGCCAGTACAAGAGGCACCACGTCCAGCAGCTTCGACTGCCAACGATTGACCACTTTGAGCCGTCGCTCGAGGCGTTGGAAGCTGCGGTCGCGTTCCTTCAGGTGCAGCAGCAACGGGGAGTGCGGACGTACGTGCACTGCAAAGGCGGCAGTGGACGCAGCGCTGCCGTGGCCTTGTGCTGGCTCGTGGCTACGCGACAGATGGACCCGCGGGAAGCTCAGGCGTACTTGAGCGAGAAGCGCCACGTGCGCAAGGGGCTCTACTTGCAGCCAAACGTGCGTGCGTTCTGCAATAAGGTTCGGCCGTTGCCCGGGAGGAACCAGCAGGAAGACAAGGGCAAGACAATGGACGGCAAACAGGGACAAGAGGCCAAGAGGAACGCGACGGGTTGAATCGAGATGGGCTCGTTCTGTACCCAACTTGTGTCGTGGTGACAAGCGTTGGAGCCGGTGTTGGTACCGTGTGCTCTCGGGTGACAGGGTACACACAGGAGACCATTCAAAAACTTTGGGGAACGAGGTCCGATGCATGGCTGCATCCTACAACGGACGATCAGTGGAGAACTCAGCGGTGTTGTGTTCCTGCATTATTTGACCGCAAAGTTCTCTCGCACGTCGCAGCACGCGTTTCTTGGCAACGAACGATAGTTACGGCACGACCGTATGGTACATAGCGACAGACTGCACCCTGAGGTCGCATCGACTGCAAACGTGGCCAGTCGTGTAGAGCCACGTCGTCAGGCGTTGAGGCAGGCTGTGCTGCTCTCGCTCAAAAGTGAGACACACGTCTCAGCTTCGGTACCAGCTTTTCAAAGCTGAACGGTGTGCACAAATTGCTTGTCATTCGATGCAAGCCACATGGCCATCAACATCTTCACTATCACATCCGTCGGCCTTCGAGTACACCGTCTGACGTCGCCGTGCATTTCCAAAGTCCAGTTGGTGCAAATTTGCTGTTCGCGAGCACTTGTCCGTTCGTCAATCTGACCGTAGATGTGTTTCTCGCTCATTTGGTGATGCAGCCTGAAAGTAGACTGACATATGAGATTTGTCGCGTCCGAGGCGAGCGATACCTTTCGACTCCAAGTGACCTCAGTAGGAGACGTCCAAGCTGGAATACAACACAAATGAGCGTTTGGTTTCGTCACGCGAGTAAAATGCCTGCAATACTGTTACTGACCGACCACACCGGTGCTCCACGCTCATGATGTTCGATGCTCGGTCCCGCTAGTCCTCTTAAAAGGCACTGAATTTGTTGTAAATCAACTCTCGATCATACTTATCCCGAGTGCTTTTGTCGGAAAGCACGTTGTATGCGGCTGTCATCTCCTTGAACAATTCAATGTGTGACAACGCACTTGATTTATCTGCTCGTGCAAACACATGAACAAGTAAGCATCAGTCGCAACCAAACCACGCCACGGTCATAGCTAGTTTCGACCAGCTTACCTGGATGATACGAGAGCGCCAGTTTGCGGTACGACTTCTTGATTTGGTCGCTCGTCGCTGTCCTACTGACAGCAAGTATTTCGTAATACGTGCGGCTTCGGGTCTCTGTTTTCGCGCATGAGGCCCCACTGCTATCACCTGACGACTGGTTTTTACTGCTCCCACCATTGGTACCTGCCCCCCGTGTGTACCTGTCGTAAGGTCGGCTTTTATTCTGCGATGCATCTTCCCAGCAAGGTGGGCGTTGCTGCCGTTGTTGACGTTCTGCACGCTTCTTTGCCGCCTCTCGCTGTCTGGCTTCTTCTCGGGCTTTGGCAATAGCTGCCTTTGCCTCGTCACGCTCTCGAGCAACATTGGCTGTTTCACTAACAGGAATGTCGCTTGATTGCTCGCGCAAGTAATTGTCGTAGTCTTTCACTGCTTCATGGTGCATCTTCAATCTATCATGGCACCGTGCTCGACGGAGCATGGCACGGAAGAATTTTGGCTTCCGTTGCAATGCTTCATTGCAATCGAGGAGCGCAGTGTGATACCGCTGTAGTCCCATTTGGGCTGCTGAACGATTGCAGTAAAGAACTGCGCAGTACTCGTGGTGTTGCGGGTCAATAAGCAATGCTTCCGAGTAGTGCCGTACAGCCTCCTGGTACTGGCCTTCTTTATACCGTGCATTCCCGTCGCGTTTAAGCTGCTCCATATCTTGCCACTGCCGTTTCAATTTTATCACGTGCGAGCTGCAAGGTGCTACAACTTCCAACGCGTCGAGTATCCGACTTGCGTCTTCGACTTTGTTTTGGTAGTGCAGCGAAGTTGCCCACAACAGTCCCAGATCAATACCCAGGATAGTGACCATGTCCACAGCTTCGTCCTTTAGCGACTTTGTGCTTATCCCACCTCTGCTCGCCGGATTCTGCGACTTTCTTGAATTTGCTTGCTGTTTTTCGACAACCGAAGTACAAAACTTGCTAATATGATCTAGTTGCCTGTCGCAGTCAGCAGCATCGTGACCCCTTGCGTTAGACAACTACCGCGAACAACAGAGCGAGCAAGTACTTACTTACCTTCGGTGAAGAAAAATACGGGCCTTTTCTACCTGCAGCTTTCGGCTCTTCGGCGCAAGTACCAAAGCGCTTTCGGTGTGCATAAGAGCTTGCTTATAGTATCCACACGCGATATTCGACTTGATCTCGCTTTGCAGCATCGTCAATTTCTTAATTGCTGCTTCCGTCTTGAGAACGGACACGCGATCAATATGGTCACAGCTACTGACTTGGTCATCTTGCTTTTCCATCAGCTGCCTTGCAGTATCAATGTTTGCCTTCGCGTTTGCAGTATCACCCAGTAAAACTTGAATACGGCTAAGCCGGAGGTATGCGCGTGCATACGTCGCGTCCACTTCAATCGATCGCTGGCATTCACGCTGAGCTTCAGCGATCTGCATCATCATCATAAGTGACGCCGCCCGATTTGCGTGAAGCCTCGCCTTATCGGTTCTCACTTCGATCGTATAGGTGTCTGCACCACGATAAAGAAGTGAGTCGAGTAGCTCAATGCTCTGGCGGTAGTACTCGACTGCTTCTCCGTACTTTTTTGAGCAATAAGCAATACCGCCAAGTCGCTTCATTTCACGCCAGTCAAGCTCATCTTCGCTACCCATTTCCGCGTCACCCTCCTCGGGTCGATTGCCAGACGAAACTGGAGCTGAACGCGCACGCTCTTTGCGGACTCCAATGTTCCGAACGGCGGCACGAAGGATTCGACGTGATCCAGCATAAGCGGGGCACGTCGCGCCATTGGAAGTTTGCTGGGTCTTCAGACAATTGCCTGGTTTGTTTTGCTGAAAAACTGATTGATGAGCCGCACTTGGAAGCTGCGAAGCACTAGGTTTGTCTTTTTGTAAGACCGAAGAAGACACATTTGTGTCGCACGTCTTGCCCTGTTGCTGAGTTGTTTCACCATTAACACTGCCAGCCGTGGATGTAGCAGCAGAAGCAAATTCTGTCGCTACTGTAGCCTTATCAGTACAAGGGCTGCGCTTTCCATCTAATGGTACGAATGGCGATGCAGACGACAGGTTCTGATAGTTGCGTGCAGCGAGCGGATCGGCCAGGAAGCTATGTCCAGACTTTCTTTGGTAGGCATCCTTTTGAGCATACCCATGATTATCACGGACAGAAAACGGCGATGCTGAGAACGAACCGAAAAAGCTGGAGGACCGCATAGGCTCGGTAGCACCTACTTTCGCATCCTTCCGCGGACTGTGCTTGCGAGCAAACATTCCGCTTTTCCTGGGCCGCACACGCGTTTTCCTTCGCACGTCCACACTACCAATCTGGAAACCACAGCCAATAGTTGGAGCTGACATACTTTTGGCTTGCTGCTCCGTGAAGCGAAAATTGGGTCCTCGTGACTGCGAGCTAGTCTCTGTTTCTCCCGATCCAGGTGGAATGCATGAAGTAGCTGTGCTGCATTCAGCGCGTTCAGAGAAGACTGAGCCGAAACCTTCGTTCGCCCCAGATGAAGATGGTTCAGGGTTTGAGAATGTCTTCGGAGCCATCTTAGCATCTACGTTCTTGTTTGCGGCAAATTGATTGCCAGAAAAAGTAGCTGGTGTCGTGCTTTTGCCTTGCGCTGTACTGTGGTGCGTGCTGTCATACGCACATGCTGAATCATGTCGTTGAGAAAAGGCTGTTGTTGTCCATGACGGTGCAGAATTGGAACAGGAGGTTGAGGCTACGAATTGGGAGCTTGTCGGACAGCCAAACGGGAACGGTCTACTCGGGCTAGACTTTCTCCGCCGGGGCACATTGCGACGAAACATGCTTGGTCCTGCAACCCCAGTAGCAAAGGAAGTAGGAGGTGCTATAAACTCGCCACTGACGCCAGTCTTACCGATCTTGAAGTCACCGGCAAGACCGTTTGCCCCCTTTAGATCTTCTGACGCTCTCGTCGATGCTGCGCTGTAAGAGGCAGATGTCGCTGACTCGGTGGAGTGAAACAACTCGCTACGCTTGCGTCCAGCAAAGAAACCTGGTTTGTGGTTCTTGTACGCTTGTCCAAACAAAAACTTGCTGCTTGCCGGGGCCTCGCTTGTAGATTCACTGCGTGGGCTTTTGTTGCCCACAAAAGCGCTACATCCAATGTCGGGCTTACTCGGCATTTGCGCAGCAACTTTGGCCAGCCCAATGTCATCAGTTCCACTAGTATCAAAAGCCTCCATAGGGTTGTCACGCTTTTCAAGCGTAGAAGCGCTATTCCCCGCATTAAACGGTGCCGTAGCAGAACACCGTGATCTTGAACAGTTCATGTACGTATCGTCACAAGCCTCTTCTCCGTTTGCAGTCTCTGCCTTCCCGTACTCCGTCGGTGCATGTTTTCCAAACGTAAAATCTGGCGTTTGCACTTGCGCCTGCTGCGCTCCAAATGTAAAATCTGCTTTCTCCACTTGTGGCACCGAAACGTTCGAGATTGGTTCATCACCTACCAACGACGTCTTTGCTGTCTTCATCTTTATAGTTGCTGCCAAATGCTCGGTTGCACCCGCGGTAGTCGGACAATGCCCTGTGCTCTGATGCTGTTCTCTATGAAGTACCGTCGAGCACTTCGGGATCGCACCAGTCCCATGGTGCCGAGCTGTTGCGCCTGATAACGAGTGTCGTCGACGTGTCGGCATCTCCTTCTTCCCCGCCACTCCAAGAGCAAAAGCTGCTTTGGCGCGCCATTCCCCCTTCTCCAAGCCACCACCACTGCTCGTTGTACCACTCGTTTCGAACCGCTTTCCTGTTTGCTGTTCATCCCGCACGGCTCCACCTCCCGCGTTCTGCGGCTGCGGGAACCCATCCGCCATTTTTGTCGTCGACACGCTGCTGCTGCGTCTCGTGTATGCAGCGTCTTGAAAAGCTGCTTGCAAGTCTCCCCACGCGTAAAACACCGGTTTTGCCGCATCTCTGTCGCGTCCCCCCAGTGTATGCTCGACTCCCTGCTTTGCGCCATCATGGTTCGTATTGCCCAGGTTGTCCAAATTCGTGTCGTGAAATGCTTGCACCATCTCGTCCGCGTCCTCACTTTCTTCTGCGTCGTCTGCTACGTCCGCAGTGTCCTGCGGCTCGACGTCCATGTCCTGCTCCTCCTCCGGGTCCGAGTCTTCGGTATCCATTGAGCTCGTGGCCGAAGACGACTCCGCCTCCTCCTCCTCCTCCTCCTCTTCCATCGACGTTATCGACGGCGCATAGTCTTCGTCCTCGTCGTCACTAAAGGGCGACCGCATCGGGTACGAGAACGAGTCGCTGGGACTCGACAGGAGCTCTCCGCTGCTGCACGAGGACCACTGGCCGTCGTCGTCCGGGGGTGTTCCAACTCGCAGAGTACTCCACGAGCCTCACCATCGCGCGCAGGACTCGTCGCCCCGCGCTTGGAAGTCAAAGAGTGGGAAGTATTATTTGGATGGCTTCAAGCTACGGGAAGTAGTGACGACGACTTGGGTTTAGTGGCACACTCGGGGTGCAAAACCGGTAGGCCGTTGGTTTTCAGCACCGAAAGAGAGCAAATGCCATACCAAACAACGCCGAGACAAGGGACCCCAACGAGATTCATACAGACTGCTATCGTGTTTTGGGGTACGTGTTTCCAAGCCTTAGCGCTTGGTGTTCTTCCAACTGCTAAGCGCCTTCGTCGTCTTCTTTGTCTTCTTTGTCTTCTTGTTGCCGGTTGGTGTTGTCGACGACAATGACGTTCGTCGCTTCCTTGTTGTCGTTGTACTGTCTCCTGCGACTTCTGTATCGCTCTCGAGACCGTCGGCGGCGCGTTGCCACGCAACGTCTTCGACTGCTTCAACTTCGACGTCGCCCGCGTGTCGCACTCGACCCGTTTCCGTGCCGTGCTGGTTGTCCCAGTCCTTGAGCTTGGCGTCCATCATGTAGTCGTCCTGCACGACCGACCACGAGGACTTGGCCGACGTGGCGGCTGTCTGTTGCTGCTGCGACGCCTGGAGCAGACCTAGAAAGTTCTCTTTCGACATGCCCTTGACCTTGTGTGTGTCGCTCGTGTCCTCTTTCTTGCCACTCGCGTGCTGGTGCTTCTGGATTGCATTGAACAGCGCCACGACTACAACATCAACACAGACAGATACAAAGAGCGAAAGAAGAGGAAGAAGATGGTAGCGTTCGTCAACAGATTCCCTCCCACCTGCCTTTGCTAGCGGCCACAGCAATACCCCCACGCTCTCACCTCCTTTGGTTGCAATCATTCGAAGCGCTCGGTCCTTCCCGGCCGTCGTGTGGTCGGGCACGACCATGTCCTTCTGCTCGCGCTCGCGCTTCTCAGCAGCACTTACGCGCGCTGTCTTGACCTCCTTCTTGTCGCTCTGGATCTCTCGCATCCGCGCGGTCGTGCGCTTGGCGAGGATCGGCTGAACGTCTTCGGCGACGGTTTGGCTCAGGAGTTTGCTCATGGCGTCGCCAAACCCCACGGCCTCGTGCGGCTCCTCGTCGTCCGTCGAGTCCTGCGGCTCTGCTTCGTCGTCGTCTTCTTCGGCTTCGTCGTCGTCTTCATCGGCTTCGTCGTCGTCTTCATCGTTTTGTTTCTTGCTTCTTTGTCACTGTTCTTGTCTGACGCAACGTCGGATGCTGCACCAGCATCGACGTGGAGCTTTCGTTCGGTCTTTGCCGGCTGCTTCTGCGTCAGCGTCTTCTTCTCGACCATCGACACCTCCGACACTTGGCACCTGATTCGATCGTGTCGGACGGTGGTGACCAACCAGTTTAGGCTCGTCAAAAGAGCTTGTCTTAATCAGGAAAGCGTGGGACAGACGCTCTCACAAACACCCAGAACAATATTGGAAACCGTCTTGACAAGTGTACTATTTCTGTAAAGCGATGAATTAATTTTGATTGACGATGATGACAATGTGTTGTGGAACCCTACACGAAGAAAGAGTATTTGATGTGCATTGGTACTATGGAAAGGGCTCGCGTAGTGGGCTGCAATCGGCTTTTGTCGTTCCTATGTGGGCACACCACCGATAGAGCACAAGTTTTGTGTCGCAGAGTAGTTGGTCCGCGACTTGTTGGGTAGTGCCAGTCAGTAATGGTGATTGGTACTCGACTTAGTTTCACCTTAGACGGAGCAGCGGTCCCGTACGACACATTTATCACTGGTCGATTATGCGAGCTAGAAAGGTCAGATGCGCACCAAAGCTTCGTTACATGTTGCACAGGTATCTGTCATGGGGAGCAACTGAAAGAGGACAGATTGGTGTTAGGAGATGCCAAAGTGGCTGGACTGCCGTGCAGCGACCGCGAAGTGAGGGCTGTAAGTCGGATGTTGTCTTGGTTTAACATTCTCATCGGCTAGCCATCTTCATCGCCGTAGTAGCACTCGCTGATCTGGCAGCTGCAGGTATTACGTGGCGATACGAAAGTCCCTGGTCTGGAAGGAACGTTTTGCCAGACGTTGCAAAAGACTTAGAGGTAACGTGTTCAGGACACTAAAGGAAGAGAGTGTCAACATTGTGCCACTTGTGGAAAAATGCTGTAGAAGTAACTATGCGTCACAGCGTTCAGCAGGCCATCTATTCCATTCTCATTGAAACAGCATTTGAAAAAGTAATTAAAACCAATCGGGACGTCAGAAAATCAATCAATAGTTAATTTCAAGATTGGCTACTGACAAACGGACATGTCTAAGAATTCCGGGACAAGATTAGCGAACATTTACGAACCGCTAGTACATTAGATAGTTCTAACCCACGATTGGATAATTTGTTGATTTATCCACACAAAACCGTTCAGCGATTTTTTGATGTGCAACGTAAACGACGTTATTCGTACGTCTCATCAAACCATTTTTTCTGCACAAGATTGCACAAAGTGTCGATACAAAATGCTGGCAAGAATATGCGAGCTATTGGAGAAGTTATTTTTCGTGTGCACGACGCTACCTGTCGACTGCAAGGGATTGCATAGTGCACGCATGTTTGTTTCCCTGTCCGCATTGTCACAAACGTGCTCTTGGACTCGCTCGGCACTGCGGACCACAAAAGCCCGACAGAATTCGAACCTGCTGTGATATCGCAGCACTTATGGTCGTGTCCGCGGCACGCACGTGTCGTGCAATCGGATTTACTCAGCTAAAAGATGGTTCGGTCCTTGTGTGATGCGTGGTACGTGACTATTTTGCTTTGACCTATACTTGCATTGAGAAACGGCTTGTGTTGACTGAAGCTTGCTAACGTTCTTGACAGTCTTCGATGTTATGCTAGGTACAACGGCTGGCGTAGTGCAGCTGGATAGGCATATGACAGGTTTACACTTAGAGCGTCGTCGTATAGTGACTAGTGTGATGCTGGCGCGGGGAAGCGGCTAGTTGTGACAGCATTATGCTGGATGAAAAAAGCGCGGTCTGAGGCTGCATGCACGACCAGTGGATGCGTCAATGGCATATCCGAGACACAGTACTCACTCTTATGCTCGTAAAATGAGTGAGGATTTCCGCCTAATGGGACTGCCTTCGATGCGGGATTCGAGAGGAGGCCTGGCTTGAGCTGGACTCGAAGCATTCGATAGTCCATATATTGTGCCATTCCCTCGCAATCGAATCGTATAGCAAGTAGACAGACGGTCAAGTTCTCTGGCTGTAGCTTTTATCACGAAGCGACTCATCCATGTCAGCGCACAAGAATACGAGCAGCTCTCGATCGCCCTAACCCAGCGAGTAGTAGTCAAGCTATTCGTATCATCGCTTATTCTACAGTTCGTGATGACACTATTTCGCGACAAGAATCGTCACGAACATTGCCATCCTTCGAACTCGCAAACAACGATGAAAGTAGCCTGTATGCGGCTGGTGTAACGGGGCACACCCTTGCGTAACTTAACGCAAGGGATTTGGGTGCCCCGACGGACGTACACGTGGCGAGCGAGGAAGCGTAGGTAGGGTAAAAGTAGAACTGTTATATTAATAAATTAAGT